GGAGATCTTGTGGTCTGATCAATACTTCCTCGGTAATATAAGATTGTTATGGATCTTGTGAGAACACTTCCATAAGAGAGAAATAAAAACCAATCTCAGTCTTACATCTGAAAAAATTCAACGGATCTAATAAGATTTTTTTAAAAAAAAAATAGTGGCAGTTTCGTAATTATCATCAACTCCACTGTGCAAACTTTAACACTTAAATATGTAATTTTTAACAACTAAATATGCAAACTTGGTAAATTCTATAAAATCAACGAAAAAGCTAAATTTTAAATCTAAACCGTAAATGAGAGACCTTAAGCAGTAAAATTGTGAAAGATTTGACATAATTGTGATTTGATGTATTATACTGTATAATATTATTGTGAAAAATTAAAATGCAATGATCTGACCATTTCCTTTTCCATTTTAGTCAATTATGGATATCTTTTTTATTTTCAGTCAATTATTAATATTCATTCTCTTTTCCAATTAACCTAACTTCAATTCCTTTTTTTTCATTTTTAATTTTCAATGAATTATTAATATTAATTTCTTTTTCTAATTTACCTAATTTCCATTCCATTTTTAATTGATGATGTAGAATATTATTGTGAAATATTTATGTTTCTTTTTTTCATTTTTTTTAATTTACCTTTACTATTTAATATTGTTTGGGTAGGAAATCAAGTAAATAGGATTTTGTTTTTAATTATAGTATAGATTTGACCGTGAGGTTGTAGCATATATATATATGAATTGGTTATATTATAAATTGTTTAAATTGGTTATATAGGGTATTATGTTAGTACGTGAAAGCATTGAATATGGAAACAATATTATCAAGATTTTAGTTAATTTCTATTTTACATTTGCTTACAAAATAAGTTGTATTAAATTAGTTGGTGATAAACATCTAAAAATTCTACACAGTAATACTATACATAATATTACCAATTATACTATTATGTTATTACCTAATTAATTAATGTCTTTTCTACACGGTATTATAAATACGTAAAAAAAAAATACGGAGAATTTGCAAATAATAATGTTACTAAAAATATTATTATATTATAGAATATAACTAATATGTCTTTTCTATATGGTATTATGTTATTACGTTAATACGTGGATATGGAAACAATATTACCAAGATTTCAGTTAATATCCATTTTACATTTGCTTACAGAATAAGCTTTATTAAATTAGTTGGTGAAAATACAACTACGCATGAAAGATGAATTCAATCTAAAAATGGCAGTTTATAGTTCTGTATGTGCACATGCACACATGTTGAAGGCTCAAAAGAATCTTCCAGAAGTGTAAAAAAAAGATTTACTAAAAATAAGTACAATTTCAATTAATATATACTTTACCAATAATATTAATTCCTATTTTTTACTATATTATAATTCTATTTACTATTATATGTGAAACATTTATTTTTTAAGTTATACGAAAGAAACTGTGATTACAGAGAGGAAAATTATAGTGAGGGGATCTTAATTGTTTTCACCACTTCAAGGATGATGAGTTTTGTTCATATGAAGATAAGATAGTACTAATGTAGGTTGATTATTTATAATATATCTGAAAGTAAAATTTGACCAATAATATTAATTCCTAAATCAATAAATAATTAGTTATATACACATTTAGCAGTACCAATGTTATTACTAATACTTTATATATATCTGCAGTATTGAACCTTTAATGTGAGATAAGAAAGAAATAATCAGTTAAATGATGTCTTTATTTGGATGCACTGAGACTATTACAATGCTCCATCACTTTGCAAACATGTACAACTTTGGCTTTATTTTATACTTTAGATTATACTTTGCTTATCTTTTGGATTTTAATGTATTATTTTAAGCTAATTTATTTATTAACATTAAAAAAATACATTTTAAAGTGTGACAATTTATACTAATAAATCATTTAAAAAAGTGGCAAAAGATGATTATAAAATTTGATGCCACTGCATCAATTTAAAAAATATATTTTATTGCTACTGTTTACCTCAATCATCTCATAAATATCAATAATGTTTCTTAGAATGATCTAATCAACACATAAACTGGAAAAAAAATGACAATAATAAACAAAATATGTACAAAAATAAATGATAAAAATATTATGATAATGATTAAAACATAATAAATTTACCTTTCCAGAAAATCACAAAACTCTGAAAATCCTGATTGAAAATGAGTTGTGTATCAAAAGTTACATATCTTGACATAATCGGCTAATCAAAAAGAACATTCATTACTTGTCCTTATTCAAATACTTTCAAATATAAAAAAAATAAAAATAAAACACTTGTGTTTAGATTAACTCTTCGTATCATTCTTAACTCTACACAATTGCATAAGAACAACCATAGGATTTGCAAGGCAGGAATTAAAAAAAGGTTTCAACTCTTGGTATATGTTGATCTCACACTGTAGCCTTCAACTGATTGTCCCTATAAACAAATAAACTACTTAATAAAAAATACATATACAAAATACAATAAAAATAACAAAATTAGATAATTTACTTTGTATCCACGTACAATTAGAAAATCAATAAGTTAAGAAGGCTTCCCTGCAAATCTGCAATGATCTTATCCAATAGGGAGTATATCTCAACGACTCTACTAATAACGTCAAACATGTTAATAAAAAAAAAAAGAAAAGGAATTCAGATGTGATTAAAATTGTAAATGAAACTTACCAACGAACTGTTTATCATCTACAAACTTCAAAGATGAAAATGATTTCAATAAATAAATTTGTCTAGGAAAGTTGTCATTTTTTTTTTATTCTTTAACCAAAGCAGCATAGTTGAATTACAACATAAAATAATGAGTGCATTTTTTGTAAATATAGAAATAACTTATCACCATAAAATTTTTAATGACATAAACTTTTCATTCTTTGAAAAGCTTACAGTACCTACCAACATTCTCCCTTAGTATATGAGCATGAAGTTCCCTACAATGGAGTAAAAAAGAAAAGTATTGTTTTGCAGTTTATTTTTGCAGTATAGGAAGCAGCTTTGTAATGCATCTTTTCCCCAATTTCATATACAACACGAGTTCTAGAAAAAAAAAAGTAAAATCGAAAAAAATAGCATTTGATCGTGAAATATGCACTCTCTAGATTTTATGGAAGCACTTCCATTTCTCTCAGGGACTTCATATAGGTGCACACCAATCACCATCTAATAGCTCTGAAAGTCTTCAATGGATAAATATTCGGGGCAAGGATAAACATTGGAGTTGTAGAAAAAAACAAGATTGAAAACAAAATATCTCTTGATCGTGGAACATGCACTCTCTAGATTTTATGGAATCACTCCTCATTCTTTATGAGATTTCATATAGGTGCGCACCAATTGCAGTCTAATAGCTTTGCAAGTCTTCAATGAAAAAATATCCTGGGCAAGGATAAACATTGGAGTCGTAACAGTTTTACTACCACAGTTTAGGCGGGAAAATGAAATAGGAGGATTTTAATATATATATATATATATATATATATATATATATATATATATATATATATATATATATATATATATATGTGAGTGAATTTCATTTTTGGTCCTACTGTTATAGGGGTTTTTCAATTTTAGTCCACCATAATTATTTTTGCCACATTGCATCCACTATTATTAAAAGTTTTCCAATTTTAGTCTATTTTTAGATTTTTCGTGGCATTTTTGGTCCTACTGTTATAGGGGTTTTTCAATTTTAGTCCACCATAATTATTTTTGCCACATTGCATCCACTATTATTAAAAGTGTTCCAATTTTAGTCTATTTTTAGATTTTTCGTGGACTAAAATTGGAACACTTTTAATAATAGTGGACGCAATGTGGCAAAAATAATTATGATGGACTAAAATTGGAATGACCCCTATAATAGTAGGACCAAAAATGAAATTCTCTCTCTCTCTCTCTCTCTCTCTCTCTCTCTCTCTATATATATATATATATATATATATATATATATATATATATATATACTAGTAATTCACCCGCGCGATGCACGGGAAAAAAAAATGTTATTATAAATATAAATAAAAAATAGAAAAACTAAAATATTTTAAATTATTTAATATAAAAATATTTTTGAGCTTTCATTGGTCAAGTATTTATTATTTTTATAGAATACAAAATTACAATTAAAATTAAAATTATAATTTTGTATGGTTAATATAATCTCTAATTATGTGCATATTCAAATAAACTTATAGAGAGAATTTACATAATTTCATTGATTTATTCTTAACTGTATTTCATCTATATTATAATTTTCACAATACGAATAATAACTAAGATAATTACATTTGGAAAACAAATTTCAAATTTTGTGTGTGTGTGAAATTATGTTGATGGCAAATGATTCGAACACTACCACAATAAGATCTATCTCAATTCGTAGTTTTATTTCTCAAATTAAGGTAGGATGAGGAGGAGAACTGCGAATTGGGATCGATCTTAGGGCTTAAATTCATTTATTTATGCTCAAATTGAAATCTTAAGTTGAAAATGATGAAAATGTCCTTAAAATTGTTAGATTTCGGGATGTCTTAAATAGATGGGTGACTGACGTGATGAATTTTGATACTAAAATAATAATCGTGAACTAAAATTGGTACTAAAACAATAGTCATGAATGAAAATTGGTAGGTATTAAACATGCGAATTAAAACCGTCATTTTGCTAATACTCGTGGGATCAAAATTGGTATTTGCACAAACTAAATATGTTGTCTTTTCAGTATTGTAGTTGTTTTAAAAAAAATCATAGCGGAAAAGTTTGATAGAAGGAGGGCGGATGGGGAGAGACCGCCGGTTCGGGGTTTGACCCATTAATTAAATGCGAGCATTAAAAAAATCTGATGACTTCTTGTCCTCTTCTGGCCACATATATAATTAATCTTCTCACTGATGACACAAGATTACAGCAATAATACTACTAAAAAATCATGTTTTTTATAGATGAAAAAATATATTAATGTTAGTCGTGTCTGCATTAATTACAACCAAAATCTGAAATCTAATTTCAGTGGTGAGAGACCATAGTCCAGCTGTAAATCTTCAGTTAAACATAGTCTTCAGAGGCCCCTTTTAGAGAGAGAGAGGGAGTGATTGAAGAGTGAGAAGAAGAGCAGATGCCTTATTTAGTTCCAACTCCCATCCACAATTCCTATTAGTTTCTTGTCTGCATTTGAAGATTTCGAGAAAAAAAGGGTACACCAAAAGGCCCCCCCTTTTTTTTTCTCATATTTATATAATTTTTTTTTTTAAAAAAAAATTGTTTCTTTTTTTCAGCTTTGGATCAGATTTGAAGACTGTAGCTCAAAAGGGGTTGGTTGATCTGAGCTCTTTTATGTGAAAGTTTTGCTGAGAAATGGACCAAACAATTGAGAGGTCTCCAAATGGGCACAGGGGGTTTAGAGTTCAAGCTCCACTGGTGAGATATCTTAATTTCTTTTTCTTTCTCCTCTTAACTAATGGCTTTTTATAGATTTCTTGATGCGAATTTTCTACAAAGGTATTAACCTTTGCAAGAATTTCTTTGTGGTTGTTGGGCGTATGCTGTGTGGCTCTTGTTCGAATTTTATTTTATTCTTATTCCCAGTACTTTCCAGTTAAAGTTCTCTTTGTTGAATATGAAACTTGTCAAGTCAAAATCCTCTCTGAAGAATAATGTGATAGCTTTTTAGAAACTTTCCCAAATTTTATATTTCATTTATGGAGTAGTTTTTATGTTTGTGATGGACTTAACAAGTTACAGTTCTGGTATTTCTGGACCTACCAAGCATTCAAACATAATGAATTGAGAAGATTAGTATTGTTATGGGGTGTGTTTTCATTGAAGAAAGGATAATTAATGGCGGTGAAAACCCGATTTGACCTTGTTTCTATGATCAATTGTCAATGTTGTGGCAGGAGAATATGTGCTTGCCTTTTTCTCCATGTGTGTATAAGAGTGTGTTACTTTAGATGCACAAACTGACCGGAACATGTAGATATGATATGAGTTGACTTTGATGTATTCACCTTGTGAGAGAGGTATACGTGCGGGATATATACTGATCCTACTTTTTCCTTTGTTGATATTGGAACTGTGGTGTTTAAGGGGTCAGAATTAAGCTAACTTGCTTTGGCTTGAACCCGTATATTGTATACTCAGAGTGGCTAGTTTCATGTCAATTTGTCGTTTATGTTACTAGTGATGAGAAGTGTTATACATGAAAGGATTGATTCTGTGCACAATTTTGTGGTTTTTGAGATCCCTTAATGCTCATCTTAAGTTCTTTTCTTTACCCGCTTACTTGACCAAAAAAGGGTTTTTTTTTTTTTTTCCTTTCTGGTAAACCTGGTTCTTTACTCAACTAGTCTTCATTTGCAGTCCCGAAATTTCAGTACTTATAAATGACAGTGCAAATTCTTTATAATATTTTGGGTTTATCTTTCTATCCTTGCTTTTAGTTTATTCTCTACCTCCCATGTAGACAAAGATCTTACTTCAAGCATCTTCCATGCCATTTCTGGCATTACAAAATGTTAGTTCTGATGACTTCATATAGATCTGGTCTTTGACCACTCTGTCCTTGGCATATCGAAACTTGAAAGGGCTGAAATTTTATGGTGGTAAAATGTTAAATTCGGTAAAACATTGATTGTTGCCATTTTCAGATTTATTCTCGGTGCAATAATCCGGGTCTTGATGGAATGACATTCATATGCGTTTCTTGCTCATGTGTAGCTGACTTTAAAACCCAATGAACATTATTGTCTAACTGTAAGTGTAGCCGTGTAGGGGCAATTTGGAATGGTTTGATTGAGGAATCCCCTGATTTTAGTTGTAAATGTAATTCTTTGCAACCTTAACTTTAAAAGATGATATTTCATTCATTTAAATAATTCTAATAAATGTACTGTGGTGATATATCACATTTTGAGCAACTACTTTATTAAATAATTCTAATAAAGGGTCCCTATCCTCAGATCACCTGCAATAAACAACACAATTGTTATACCATGAACCAAGGTTCATATTGAATTGTGAATCCTGATACAAAAATTTTGTACCTTCAGTATAGTTAACACATTCTATACCTATAGTTAACAGTTTCTGTACATGTAAACAAATAACTTGATAATTGCTGACACATAATATGATAGCTACAGGTACAGAAACTATCAACAACAGATACAGAATGTGTCAACTATAGATACAAAATCTGACTTGATAATTGCTGACACATAATATAAATATATGATAGCTATAGGTACAGAAACTATCAACTGCAGGTAAAGAATGTGTCAACTATAGATACAGAATCTGAAGGTTATTTTTGGACCAGGGTCTACAATGCAAGGTAGACCCTGGTCCATGGTATAATTTCCCTAAACAACTGGGATGGGCCTCAACCTTGATGTTTAAGATAGAAAGTAGTTAATAAGGAGTAACGGAGTAATGCCTAAGAATGGTAAGCACCTTATAAAAAGCGAAGGCAGTTCTAGAAACATGTGCTTCTATAACTGTTTTGTGCATAAAAAAATGAAAAAATTAAGTTGTTCTCATGTGACTTTACTGAATGGTTGACCTTTGAGAGTCGTAGAAGGCCTTTGAATCCCTTGCAACATATGTTATGTTCTTGTTAGTTAATTTATGTCTATAGGATTGGTTAAAAATGTCCCAAGGGTTTGGACAGTGAAGCTGGTATTCTGGTAAGAGCATATGTGCTGGGATTACTTCGATCTGTGAGGCTCTAAAGACTTGTGTGGTGGCCTAGACTTTCCATGAATGTTATATTGTGGTCGAACATCACTTTACTTTTCATCCCGAAATCCCGATGCACTTGGCATTCTTCACTCCCTCCCGCCACAGGATACCTCTATAAGTGATCCTTGAGATTTGTGATTGAAAACCAAACAAAAGCACAATTTAAGAGTATCACCAACCTTGTTACCTTGCATCATAGTTGTGCCTATTTAAAAATACTGATTTAGTGATATCAATATGATAAAATTCCTAATGTTAAAATTTATACTTGAAACATTACACTACTTTTCTTAGCTCTTTATGAAATTTTCTCATAGAGGCATAAAATCTTTTAGATCCCCTTATACTAATGCAAAATCTAATAATGCATTCATTTTAATTTTTAACTATAAAGTTGTATGACTCTGATAAAACAGTTTCTTATTGGGACACTCTGTTCAACATCATATTTCAGATCAAGCATTTCAGTCTAATGCTGATTTTTGTATTTCTTGAGCAAAACGTTAGATATTATCATTTTTCCTTAGAAATAGCATCCTTAAGGTTTTGTTTTTTGTTTGTTTGTTTGTTTTGTTTTACATATATTATAACACATATAGTTAATGGTTATCATGTTATCTTGGATCATGTGCAGGTTGATTCAGTATCATGTTATTGCAAGGTTGATTCAGGCTTGAAAACGGTTGCTGGTGCGAGAAAATTTGTACCAGGTTCAAAACTCTGTATTCAGCCAGATATCAATCCCCGTGCACACAAGAGCAAAAGCTCTCGGAGGGAGAGGTCGAGAGTGCAACCGCCTCTTCTTCCTGGCCTTCCAGATGATCTTGCGATTGCTTGTTTGATACGGGTTCCTCGTGTTGAACATAACAAGCTCCGTCTAGTATGCAAAAGGTGGTATCGCCTTCTAGCTGGGAACTTCTTTTATTCTCTGAGGAAAAGTCTTGGAATGGCGGAAGAGTGGGTATATGTCATAAAAAGAGATCGTGATGGGCGGATTTCGTGGCACGCGTTTGATCCAACCTATCAGCTTTGGCAACCTCTCCCTCCTGTTCCGGGTGAGTATAGCGATGCCCTTGGATTTGGCTGCGCTGTCCTTAGCGGTTGCCATCTGTATTTGTTCGGAGGGAAAGACCCAATTAAGGGGTCCATGAGACGGGTCATCTTTTATAGCGCTAGAACGAATAAATGGCACAGGGCACCCGACATGCTGCGTAAACGACACTTTTTCGGGTCTTGCGTGATTAATAATTGCCTTTATGTCGCTGGTGGTGAATGCGAAGGAATACAAAGAACCCTTCGTTCTGCAGAGGTCTATGACCCCAATAGGAACCGGTGGAGCTTCATTGCTGATATGAGCACAGCCATGGTGCCCTTCATTGGCGTTATTTATGATGGGAAGTGGTTTCTGAAAGGCTTGGGATCCCACCGAGAGGTCTTAAGTGAAGCTTATAACGCGGAGACGAATACATGGTCTCCCGTCAATGACGGGATGGTTGCTGGTTGGCGCAACCCGAGTATCTCTATGAATGGTAGACTATATGCCTTGGATTGCCGGGATGGTTGTAAGCTTAGAGTGTATGATGAGTCCACGAATTCTTGGAACAGATTTATCGATAGCAAGCTTCATCTCGGGAACTCCCGGGCATTAGAAGCTGCTGCCCTCGTTCCCCTTAACGGCAAACTGTGTATAATTCGGAACAACATGAGCATAAGCTTGGTTGACATTTCGAGCCCGAATAAGCAAGTGGAAGATAACCCTCACCTTTGGGAGAATATAGCTGGAAAAGGCCACTTCAGAAACCTATTCACCAATTTGTGGTCGAGCATTGCAGGACGAAGTGGATTGAAGAGTCACATTGTGCACTGTCAGGTGCTCCAAGCATGAGACTATCTGTCTCAAACCATTCTTTTTCCCCTAAATCCCGTTCTACCTGTCAAGATGGATACAATTGGCAACTAGGATATTGCCTCGTGTAGGGTCAGAATTCGAGGCGAAGTTTCTTCCTTTAGAGGTTCGGTTCTGCATGCTGATCACAGTGGTAAGTTCATAATCTGATGATTTTGGCATGCTGAAATATATCGAAAACAGATAACATTAGCTTTTCAATTTTGTCAGATTCATGAATAGGAAGATCGAGATCGAATAGCTTTGCATTTGTATATCCTCTTCGATCCATAGTTTTGTAGCAGTAGCATGTAATCTCTCTTGGGTCGTTTTTGTGAATATCTGTCTCTCTTTAGTCATAAAGTTCCATTTTTAGTTGAATTCTCAGCTTTGTATGAGTACTTATGAACCCCTTTTTCTTGCTTCAGCAGTTTTGTGTATAAAATGTGATTGATATATAATTTTGCAGTGAATATGGTTTGCAGAGAAGTAAATTTATATAATTACACAGATATTTTTGTAAAATAAATGCAGGATGTAATTACATGCATATGATATGATAATCATAATGTCTAGGTAATATTGTTTTATTAAATTATTATATATTTTTTTGTGGCCTTTATCCTTGGAAGAGATAGGAAAAGATATATCATTTACATTATTGTTTGTTTAAACCTATTTAAAGCATCCCAATAGGAATTTTTATTCATTTTTGTCAGATTTTGAGCTTGGTGACTGGGAGAAAAAATAGTAGAGAGAAGGGAAGAATGTATTTTGACAATTGTTATACGGTCGACCAAGGTTTTAAAACGGCACTGTTTTTTTTTTTTTTCTAAAGTATTATATTTAACAAATTCCGTATTTACGATGTATTCAGAATAAAATGAAATTATAGTGTATGTAAAATGAAACTGAATAACATGTCTTGCATATTGAGTTTATATTGTAATAGAGTAAATTTTAATTTTGGTCCTGTAACTATAGGGGTCCTGTTAATTGCAGTTCACGACTTTCAAAAATGTTAATTTAGTACCTTGACAATGTAATTTTTATCAATTTTGGTCACTCCGGTCAACTTTCGTCGAAAAAACTTAATTCATCAATTAGTGTTTAATCTGAGGGGCAAATTTATCTTTTAAACTGTGGTCCGAATTAAGCAAAGTCAATTTTTAACCCCTTTTATTCGATGAAATTTTGCTGGAGGGACCAAAATTGATAAAAATTGCATAATTAAGGTACTAAATTAATACTTTTGAAACTCGTGGATTGCAATTAATAGGACCCATATAGTCACATGACCAAAATTGAAACTTACTCTATTGTAAAATGAAACTCTAGTTGAATTAGAATGATATTTTAGTTGTGCTATAATGAAACTATAACATATATCTAAAATAAAATTGAATAACATGTCAAATGAAACTGTAGTTGAATTAAAATGATACTATAGTTGTGCTAAAATGAAACTACAGTATGTATAAAATGAAACTGAATAACATGTGTCAAATATTGAGTGTATATTGTCAAATTCAACTGTAGTTATATCAAAATGATACTTTAGTTGTATTGTAATGATCTTTTAGTGAATGTAAAATGAAACTGAATAACAGTTTTACATATTTGAGTGTATATTATCCAATGAAACTATAGTTGAATTAGAATTATACTTTAGTTATGTGTAATAACATTGCAGTGTGTATAAAATTAAATGAGTTAATACCCAAAATCGTCTTCGACTATAGTGGTTTTTCTCAATTTCGTCCTAAACGACTTTGGTGACCTAATATCGTCCCAGACTTTTGTGTTTCGCTCAATTTAGTCCTCCATTTGTTATTCCGTCAAATTGGTGTTAAATAAAGGGACAATTCAGTAATGTCAATATTGATCTCTCTTTACTTTCAACTTGTGAAGTGCGAAATTCCTCTTTCTTGTATGAATTACACTTAGAATTACTCACGGACCTGCAAATCAAATTTTATATTCGCAGTTTTAGGAGTAATTCGTTAAAAAAAAAAGAAGAGATTTCGCAGTTCACATGTCTATGAGTAAAGAGATGCCAATATTAAAATTACTGAATTGTCTATTTATTTAACACCAAATGGACATAATAACAAATGAGGGACTAAATTGAGCAAAAACACAAAAGTCTGGGACTAAATTGAGCGAAACACAAAAGTCTGGGACGATATTAGGTCACCAAAATCGTTTAGGACGAAATTGAGAAAAGTCACTATAGTCGAGGACGATTTTGGGTATTAACTCAAAATTAAATTGAATAACAGGTCTCACATATTGAGTGTATAAAAGTTTAATATATCAGGGTACCCGTATACATAATTTAATAGTTTATAGTTTATTACTTTTAAATAATAAAATGTAAATAATATATGTACTTTTATTCTATAGGATTCAGATGCATTTTCCGCATTACAACTTGGACAAGTTAACAGTGTTGATGTAATTTTTCATTGTAATATAATAAACTATTTTTATATTTATTCTTCTAACTTCGTAAATATTAGTCAATAAAGAATTATGTACACTTTTAAATTTTTTTTAAGGAATTATCTTCTGGGGGTGAGGTCACCAGTAAAAGAACAACCCCAACAAGATGCTGAAATTGAAAAAATTGAATCTGGATCTTCCAACCACAGCGTTAAGCGTAGACTGGATGATTCATTTTCATCAAATGTGGAGAAGAAGGACATGCAATTATAAATTTGAGTGAATTCCATTTTTGGTCATACTGTTATAGGGTCGTTTCCAATTTCAGTCCACTTTAATTTTTTTTGCCACTTTACAACCACCGTTATTGAATGTGTTCCACTTTTAGTCCACCGTTAATATTTCCGTCAAGAGGCCGTATAATCAAATGGTATTTTGGTCTTTTTATGTTTGTCTCTTCTCTTTTAATCTATGTGCTTCGTCGTCGTCCTCCTCCGATATTCGAAGATGGCTCTTCGAACAACGAGAATGGGAAGCCAAAGCTACATCGTTTCGTTCGTTCCAACATGGGCCGACGAGGTTTTTTAGGTTTTAGGTTTAATATTCTCATTTCTTTAGTCAAACGTAGTCTTGGATGAGAAGAAATGTCAAAATACTCTTAGATTACACGGCCTCTTGATGGAAATACTAACGATGGAACTAAAAGTGGAACACATTCAATAATAGTGGTTATAAAGTGGCAAAAAAAATTAAGGTGGACTAAAATTGAAAACATCCCTATAACAATAGGACCAAAAATGGAATTCACTCTATAAATTTCTACAAACACCACGATGTAAAATAAAATAAAATATTATTCAAAATCATTCCAAATATGACCAATATTGAGTATTTTATATGAACCAAATCGGTAAAATAATTATAAATTATTTGAAATTATGTTGATGTAAAATAAAATCAAATATTTATTGAAAATCATTCCAAATATGAGATAACTAAATTTATATCGTTTTTAAATGCAAAATCATTCCAAATATGAGATAACCATTGCGGATTGGATCCAATTTACCAAATTTAATATTATAATAATTAATTAATTTCATCAAATTTCATAACTTCAATTATGCTAAATCATTTTAAAATTCTTAACGGAATTGCAGTATTTATGTAACAATTAACTCATCATTTCATCAACAATGTAATTTTAAATTTCTGCGAATACCACGATGTAAAATAAAATCAAATATTATTCAAAATCATTTCAAATATGACAAATATTGAATATTTTATTTTTTGTAGATAATATTGAATATTTTATATGAACCAAATCGGTAAAATAATTATAAATTATTTGAATTTATGTGGATGTAAAATAAAATCAAATATTGTCTCCAACAACTTAAGTACAAATGCTACATCAACAACCAACGTGGTATACCACGAAATCTTCAATAATTTGTAATTTTGTGACACTTATTTTTGAATATTGTATGTTAAAGTAATTTTATTATTGTTACTATTTTGTCTTTACATTTTTTTAAAGATCGGCTTTGTAATTTGCAAATTTTAATATAGTAATCTCTTAAATTTTTCACACAATTAGACAATATCTTTCTCGTGCATCGCACGAGTACTATACTAGTATAGATATATCATATTTGGTAAAAATTTCAATAATATACTATTATAACTGCAAATACAGAGAATGTTCTTTACTTTCCATTATAAGTCATTAACGTAAAAGGGAAAAAATATTGCATTAAATTGATAACTATCATAATCATTAACATAAAAAGAAAAAAAATATTGCATTAAATTGATAATAAGAGAATTGATTAATTTTCATAAAGATAAATGGGTAAATTTGAAAAATAAATGTAAGAGGTATAATGAATAAAACACAAAGTATAATTTATCAATACAATCTATACTTTTAACACTTTTTTTTTTTTTTTATTCCAATTAAGGTTGTCTTTTATTATATTTGTTATGCTGGATATATTTAGTAGATGTCTTAATTTATAAATCCTAATTTCTTAATTCCTAGCAAATTTCATTTTTGTCACCGATTATTATGATACTGCCACATTTATTTCTTAACCGTCTTTTAATTATATTTCATTATACCCTTAATTTTCATTTTCTTGTCACAACTAGTCTTCTATTTAAATTCCATCATTAATAAAAAAGAGTAACACGTAATTTTATCATTCAGTTATAAGAGTTTACATATATAAGAGGGAGAAAAGTTAATATTAAAAAAGAAACTTGAATGATGAAATTAAATATTCGCCATTTTTATCAAACAATTGAATTTAAATGAAAAACTAATTGTGACAAGAAATAAAGGCAAAAACTTGCGTGGGACTAACTCACGAATCTTTGTCTGTGAGGCGAGTCGGGTTGAATATGCAAATGTAATATCAATCGGGAATAAATTATTTGATACTTATAAAAGAAAGTGTAATACTTTTGAAAAAAATGTAATAGTTTTACATTTTGATTTAAAAAAATGTAATACTTTTTATTTTAGTTTAAAAATATTACATTTTTTTCCTCAAATATATTACAATTTTTCTTATAAGTAACAAACACTTTATTCCTATTTTTCTTATAAGTAACAAACACTTTATTCCTGATTAGTAAATAATATTAAAAAAAAATTTTTAGCACTATTGACTCAGTTGCAATGTACTATCTATCCATACATACTTGTCGGTGCCCTCACTATGTTCCTGATCAATAAATAAAATTAAGGCTCTATTTGGTAAAGTAGTTAGTCTATAATCAATTTTGACTTATTTGACCATTATTAATTGTTTGACTTGGTGTCTTGTTAAAATAATCAATATAATTGTTTGGTTAATTAGCTTTTTGTAATTTTCAAAATGCTAAAATTCAAAAAGCTGCTTAAAGCAACTTTTTCAATTAGCTTTCTGAGTAAAGAAATTATACCAAACAGTTAACAACTAACAACTAATTTACCAAACACATTTCTACAATCAGCTAATATTATCAACTAGTTATACCCTCTAATTAACCCAATCAGCTAACAACCATTTACCAAACAAGATTTAAGGCTCTGTTGGTAAAGTAGTTAGCCTATCAGTCAATTTTGGCTTATTTGACCACTATTATCTGTTTGACTTGGTTAAAAAATCAATATAAATGTTTGGTTAATAAGTTTTTTGTAACTCTAAAATGCTAAAATTCAAAAAGTTGGTGAAAACAACTTTTTCAATTAACTTTTTGAAAAAAGAAATTATACAAATCAACTATCAGCTAACAACTAATTTACTAAACATTTTTCTACAATAAACTAATGTTATCAACTAATTATACCATATAATCCAATCAATTAACAACTATCAACCAACAACCATTTATCAAACAGAGTAATTTTTTTTTGAATATTATTGACTCTCCTAATCTATGAACTCCTATTTGAAAAAGCTACAATTATGGTGCTCGTGGTAGCTTGACCACACAAATGACACAATGTTTGGCGATTAAAGTTAAAATTTGGTCTTCCTAAATCTTCGAAGGACCTCAACCCGCTAAGCACTAACATTAGCAGACAACTGAGAAGCTCACAAAATCCTATTCTGAAATTGCTCTCTGCGGTTCGGCCTCACTTCTCACCCTCGTCGTCTCGCCATTACCGCCGGCCGCCATTTTGCAGCGACAAGCAGCCCAGCCAATTGCCGTCCGTCCGCCAGAGATCTGCGTCGCCAGTCGCCGTTTACGCCAGAATTTACAGAAAGCCTGAAAGGTAATGAATACTTGATGTTAGATTTTAATCGGAAATTTATGAATAAATAGATTAAATTTTGCTTTAGTATTCGTATGTAGTTGATTATAGTTGATGGAAGATTTTAATCGGAAAGTTATGAATTAATAGATTAAATTTTGCTTTGTTATTCAGATAGAGTTGATCTTATCTCGGCTCAAATCTCTGTCGTAGCTTAAACCCTAAAATCGTACTGAGAAATCCGATTAATTACAGCGGGGCCGGTAACCCCAAAATCTGTGAATTCCAACATGCCCGACGCCGTTTCTATGCCAAACAATTCCTTGCCGGGAAACTCCGTCTCTCCTTCGCCAATTTTAATCGACGGGTCTGAGGAAGACGCGGTTTTGGCTCGATCCAAATTCTTGCATCGGATGGAGGTTTTGCGGCGGCGGCGCCGTCGGGTCAAGCAGCTGGCCCATATATACCGGGATCACTACTGGGCTTTGATGGAGGAGCTGAAGCTCAAGCACAGAGAGTACTATTGGGAGTATGGGAAAAGCCCTTTCCAGGAAGACAATGAAGAGAATAACATAGCCATCACAGGGACAGGGGAGAACCCGAATCCCAACCCCAACCTCAATTCCAACAATCCTATCAGTAATAAGTGTGGGGTAATTACGTGCAAGTCGAAGGCCATGGCTTTGACGAGGTTCTGTCATGCGCATATCCTATCAGACCCCAACCAGAAGCTCTACAAGGCTTGCAATTACGTGAAGAAAACTACTGCAACGGGGCCGATGTTCTGTGGGAATCCTGTCTTGAGATCCATGGTTCCTTCTCTCTGCCATACCCATTTAGAGATGGTGGACAAATATGCTACGAGGGCCTTCAAGAAGGCAGGGCTGAATATATCTTCAACCACTAAGTTTGCTCCGAAATTACAGGTCATACTTGTGGAGTATGTCAACCGAATTCAGAGCAAGAGGAGAGCATTGAAGGCTGCTTTAGAGAACTCGGAAACAAAGGAGGATATCTGCTCTTGATGGCCGGCCTGGCTTACTCTCATGGATTTGACTGTATATTTCTCAACAAATTTGCAAATAGGTGACCTGTGCATTGGATTTTTCTTTAATATTTTCTGCTTAATTCATTTGCAAATAGATAGACTTGTGCATTGGGTTTTTCTGATCAATTCATTTGATATGATTGAACGGTTGATTCTTTATTAATGTTCAATTTTGTCACATTCATGAATAGGAAGGGATCAGCATGAAGTAGCAATGTAGCATGTAATGTCTCTTTGTCCTTTGTGAATGTCCTTACAAACTCTTTTTTTGCTTACAGATATTGGACTGGTTTACTAACATGAGAATTTCTTCATATTTTTAGAAAACTGGAGAATGGAATAATAGAAAACTGAAAATATGTTTACTAGCACAATTTTTCATGTTTAAAAACTGTTTTCTAAATGTAAAGCTGAATCATTTATATCTATTTGGCTATATATCAATAAATATAGTATGTAATAACATTGTTAATGTGTAATGCATATAATATGAATATTATAATGTTTTTGTAATATTTTTTTTAATTTTTTTAATATTAATCCCTATTATATATTTTAGAAGTATTTGCATCCCCTATAGCATGTAGTAAACAAGATTTACCTCAAATTTATGTGATTACAGATTACAGATATTTTGCAAAATAAATATATGATGATCATAATGTCTATGTAATATATTTTTTTAAATTATTATATATTTTCGATGGCCTGTATCATTGGAAGGGATGGAAAGGATACATCTATCTACATAATTGTTGATTTATAACTATGCAATTGACTCAACAAATTGTAGAAGGTTGATTTTGCATTGCCGACCCTTATCTAAAATGATATTAAGATGTTTGTAGTTAACAGACAATATATTTATTAACTGAAGACATATAATATGTTAATTGCAGTTTGTAAATACATGGACGGTATAATATATCAAATTAAATCTTTCACTTAGGACTGCACCATGTTCATTTTCTAGTGGGGTCATCCATCATGTGGCTGTTGTAAGTCAACCACAATTAAACACTGAATTTTTTGACTATCTCGTTGTCATACCATACTTAAAATCAATTGGTGATAAGTAGGTGGACATTAACCATTTAACCACACCCCTCCATGGTAAGTCACAGCGCCGCGTCTTGAATCAAGCATGGGCTAAACTCGGCCAACCCAGCCAACACCCAAGAAACTTGACACAAATTGGAGGTGGACCCTCTGGAAATTATACCACAAAATTGATTACTTTAAATGTCTTTTTTAAGCAAAACTTTTCGACAATTTATTCATGCTTGTTTTATGTGTTTGTGGATCATGTCAAGAGATTGAAGAGTGGTTGTAGAATGTTAAGCCATGTTCTTGTCTTCATGACTAGAAATGGTTGAAATTGATTGAAGTTGGAAAAGAAAATGTTATTGAGTGTCTAATGGAGACATGAGAGAGTAGTAGAGTAGTACCAATTTTAAAACAATATTATGTGTAATTGGGATATTGGAAAAAAAACTAATTTAAAATAACAATGTTAAAATTCAGAGAATTAGGTACATGCTTATTATTATTCATTCTGGTTGTCTTCGTTTATGCATAAATAATCTAATATGCACCAAAGTTGCACTCTCATATAAGAGGTTGTGGGTTCGAGCCTTAGGGAGAAAAAAAAATCTAATATGGATTGATAAATAATTATTTCAACTTTTACACATTTACCGTTGGTCTTATGAGTCTTAAGTTGAACACTCACAAATTACATAATAATGACTAACAATACATGTCCAATAATACAATTCACCGAATTCAGCATATCCCTCTTTGGACCAACTAACTCATCTCATAGAGCCGTTTAGAGCAAATTACAATCGTTATGCTGTGAGTATGTGCCCACCTTGCATGGTGCGCACGAATTTATATCCATAATTCTTTTTACTGTAGCTCCATAATTTTTATAGTGTAGATTCAAAATTTCTAGAATCTCGGTGAGCTAAAATTTATATTTTAGATTCATAATTTTGAAAACTGTATGATCTATAATTTAAATACAGTAGAGCCATAATTTTTATACAGTAGATCCATAATTTCTATACTGCACTGATTTGTGAAAACATGGTTCAACAATTGGAATTTAAAGTATAATTTTTAGCTCACCGAGATTGTAGAAATTTTTGGATCTACACTATAGAAATTATGAATATATATTCGTGCGCACATGTGCATGGTGGGCACGTGCTTACAGCATAATTTGCCGAGCAAATTATATCGTGCACCAGGGTGCATAATACATTGTACGCCTTGGTCCAAAACGACGTCATTTTTATAAGTTGCACTGCTAGAAATCTGCAGATTTTCGACCACCTAAAAGTGGTCGGAAATAGCCTTAATTAGGTCGGAAACGCTTGTTCTGACCTCTTTTCCAACCAATTTGGGTATCCGGAAAAATCCCCCTCGCTATTTCAAACCACTGGAGAAGTAGTTGGAAATAGCGACCACTTTTCTAATGCCGTCGGAAAAAAAGGCCAGGAGAATAGCCGGGCGGGTCCAGATTTTCCGACCACCGGTGGTCGGAAATTTCGTCCACTTTGGTGGTCGGAAAACTGGAAGTAGTCAATAAAAAAAAATCATTTCACTACAGAAGATCCCTCCGTAGTGAAATGAATATATATATATATATATATATATATATATATATATATATATATATATTAAAACATATATATTTGCTAAAAAACATATACAAATTTCATCCGCTTGATGATAATTCTTTCATGAATATACCGTTGAAAATGTAAAACGAAGTTAAAATATGAAATTCCGAAATTTAACTTTGATTCAATCCCCTAAGCAACCTACAATACCACATAAATAAGAAATTACAAAGAGTTTTCTAAAAAAAAAAAAAGAAAAGAAAGAAATTACAAAGAGTAATGACAAAGCAAATCTAACTAAATGTACAAACTATGTGGCTTGTCAAAAACAGATGCAGAATAATCCTCCAAACTCAGTTTCAAATTTAAGACCATTACTTCTATTTATTGATGGAGGTCTTCCAAACTTTTGAAATCAAAACTCAACTTACATTAGTGCAGAGGAAGAGCTTAATAAAATTTTGTGTAAGAAGCACCAACTGGTCTTCAATCTTGTCAACAAGCATCTTCCTAATCTTCTTCCTTATAGTGATCACTGCCCTCACATCTATGCAGAGGAACTGCAATTCAAAATTTTACAGATTGGTCAATGGACAGTCACAATTTCAACTAAGTAACAAGACTAACAAGCAAATCCTAGGCAGTTCTCTCCCCATATAATCAGAAATTATAACTGAAATAAGCTCAGAAAATTCACTTGAATCATCAGCTCAAAGATTCATCAATTTCAATTTTAACCTACTAACCACCATCAAACGGATTCTTCTTCGGTGTTGCAGGTGGATGATGAATCCTAGGCAGTCTTCTCCCCTTCTTCTTGTCTTTCGGCCTCACCTATACAAATTCACACAAAAATATTAATTTATATAGTAACAATATACTGAATCAGAATTGGTATGCCAAAATAAACCTGGATATTTTGTGAATTAGACTCAAGCTATAAAGAAAACCGCGTGGTTGGAGCTCTTAATTAATGCATGATGACAACAACAGTAGCATTGAATAGTTATTTATTAAAGCAACATTGAATAGGAAATCTCACAATTACTTGCTGCGTTTTTCGGCATAGGTATCATTCTTATTTGCATATTATCTTCTTCTAAAATAGCCACTGATGTAGGTTGCAATATCTAATCCTGAGATTGTGAAAGAGCAATTCCTTTACCCTTGCGTTTATTGTTATGTTGAGATATCAGAGTGCTATCATGCTGCTATAAAAATTTAAAAGTTTCATCAACCAACTACAAAAATGTCAAAACAAATATACCTCAAAATCTTGATGTTCCAAATCTCGAGCTTCACATTTTCTTCCCTGCATAGAAGACCTCAATGATTTGTTTTTTCTGCAATAAAAAATAGTGTTCAGAGAGCATATATCCCAAAAGAACAATAAAGTCTTCAAAAAATAGCATTCTAGTATATCAGAACAGAAATACAAGAGTTGCAGAGTATAATACCTTAGATACCTTCTTTTTTCTTCTCATATATTCTGTTTTAGTAAGAGCTTTAACATCAACTGAAGTTTTTCCATGTTTTGCCATTCTGTCAATGAATCAGATATGCACACACAAAGCTGTGAGTTTTCTATCATACTTATAATAAGTTCTGTTAGTATATGTTAAATTTAATTCTCAAGTTTTTATTTTAATTTTGATTTTTGTTATTCATTGGTTGAGTTTTAAGTCCTGCATATTTTAACTTGTAAGGGATAACTATGTTTTGGATACTGTACCTTAATTGGCATCCAATGGATCCTTGGGCAGTTTAGTGAAACTCAAACACAGCTCTATAATTCCAGAATATAAAACTATTTACCATGCTAGAAAAAGGTTGGAAAAGGAGTAGCAGCAATTAGATTTACAGAATATGGTCTTTCTGAAATTTTTGCTTAACATGGGTGCATTTAGGATATACTCACTGAGTTTCAAAAATGTAAAGAACCCCTATGCAAATATTAATGGAATTGTGTCACAGATGATGGAGATACTCTCATTTAACTTGTACCCTAGGAACTAGGAACGTAAAATTTCTAACTTCAGAATTTTATGTTAAGTCATATTAACAAATATTCTATTAACACAGCTGATGGATATCAATGAAAGCTCAGTATATGTTCTTCTTAACCCCTCTATCAATCATGCACAGAAGGATTTGTCTGTCACTGTATATGAAATTTGTATGTGCTTCTTCTTCTTCTAAAGTTTTCTATCTAGATGATGCATGGATTATGTGTGCAAATGCCTTTCTTGATTTCTTCTTATCTTTACAACTTGTCAAACCAAATGCTTGAGATATAAAATGGAACTTTAAAGTTTTATTTAAAAAACAAAAAAAAAAAAAAAAACAAAAAAAAAAAAAAAAAACAAAAAAACCAACAACAACAAATGTATAAGAGATAATTAACAATGATTAATTACTTGTAGTGAATTAAGCAGAACTGCAGGAATCCTAGTTTAGAATACAAATATGTCAAAATTACATAGATATTACCAGTACTAAATCAAAAGAACCCAATGATCTATAAAGTACTGTGTAAATAATCTCAAAAAGCAATGCTCTACTAAACCCTGCATAGTCCATATGACTACAACAAAGCCAACACATAAGTTGGTGCAGAAACTGAGAGAAAAATAAAAGAACATAGAGATCTGAATCCAGAGAAGTAAAAAGAAAATGTACTACAACCCAGATTAAAAGCAAGGACAGCACTATCATTTATTCATTGTTGAAGAACACTAGGAATATATATCAATGAAAATGGCCACAAATTCAAACAAGCAAAACCATTAACTGAAAAGATCACCCAAACAAACAAGATCTTGCAAAGAGTGAAAAACAACAGACCAACCTTATATACAGAGTGAAAAACAAGATCTTCATGGCCTTCACTTCTGCAGCTTCTTCTGGGTACTTCTTCTCATATTCACCGAATTTGGAATTCCACTCGGCTTCAATTGCTGCACCCTCTGGGACATGGCGGCTCCAATGGCTGCAGGAAATCATCATCAGCATATTATCTAACTGTAATTCTGCTCATATTAGTGTTCAAATTGTATATGATGGAGTAGTACCTCTTCACATCATCAGGCACATGGAAATGCACTTCCATGAACACTGTAACTGTTTTCCTTGTTTGGTGAGCCAAACCCGATGGTTGTTGTCACCTGCAAGCACTGGAGTTTAGCAAAGAACAAACTTGGGAGACAATAGAATCACTTTTTCAGTAAAATCAATTCTGAGCAAAAGAGTCAAACCTTGATCATTGTGGGCTGTCCTTAACAGCCTTTGCTTCCTTGATGGCAGCACGGATCTCATCGTAACCAGTGTTACCATTCTTCACCCAGATAACATGCCATCCTAGTAAAAGCAATCTCAGTATCACCATCAATGAAGAGAGTTGCCATAATAATTGATCACCAAATTACACGCTATATGAATGCCGAAAAAGAAGCAAACTACATATTAAACGGGATAAACTACTTATATGGCAGACCCCTGACAACTTAACACAGAGAAGAAAGTAATGCCAATTTGCAATCTACAGCTCCTTCGCTTAAGAAGACTCTGGAGCAATATAACCATTATTACAATTAAAGCACAGTCCTTCAAAACAATAAGACATGTGTATTCTTAACTAGGAACCTTCCATGGTTTCACCAAATGTAAATTACCTAAGGAAATGAAAATCCAACCAATGACCAATCTGCAGTTGATGAAGAAGATTGTTGATGAGACATTGGAGATGGTGGATTTGGACCTGTTTACAAGGCATTGAATTGTACAATAATGTTGAGTTCTTAGGGAGTTGTAATCTAAGTAAAAAAAAAAAAAAAAGAGAATAAAAAATGCAGTAAAACTGCCAAAGCCATAAACCTTCCATCATATAAAAAAAAAATTCAAAAATTAATCTCATTTTGATTTGACTACAAAATTTCAAACACATACGGAGGTTTGCTTACGGAGAATTCAGATTTGGAGGTTGTAAATCACATTGTATCATAAATAGTAACATATACATTCTCTGTAATCACAAATATGAAGTATCACATTGTATCATGAAAAACATATAATATTCAAAAATTAATCCAGCAATCACAAGTAAAGAGGGGAATAACACCATTATTCTGCTTACAGAGATTTTCAAAGGAGTCTATAAACCTTACAATGGCGGTGGAGACGAAGGTCGTATGAACTGCTGAACTCAGGGAGTACTGGAGGCTGTAGCGGTTGAGCAGATTAACACTTCCACGGTGCTGCGGTGGAGCCGTGACGCCGTGGTGGTGGAGACAAGAGACTGGAGCGGTGGTCCGGTGAAGGCCGGAGGAGAAGCCGACACGAAGGTCGCCAGGCCGGAGCAGCCGAGAAGGTAGTACTAGAGGAGACGGAGGTGAGCCACGCAGGTCGAAGGGAATTTCGGATTTGATTTTTACTTTATGGATTTTAGAATTACTGAGCAGAGACTTATATATATAATCTGAATTCCAACCACCAAGCTTGTCAAAGCTGGCCATTAAAAAATAATGGTCATAACATTTCGACCACCATTTAAAAGTGATCGAAAATACTGTCCAGATTCCGACCACCATATAGGGAGGTCAATAATTTAGAAAAAAACTTAATTTACCGTCCACTTTTCTGGATGGTCAGAAAAGTGGACGGAAAATGTCATTTTTCCAGCAGTGTTGGTGGGGAGTTGACGCGATGGCGCGACGAACACCGTTCCGTCCGTCCAATCCCGTTACAGTTTTAACTTTTTTGTGTTTATGTGTATTATAAGAGTTTATGTGTATCATGTTAAAAGTTTATGTGTATTTTGTTAAGAGTTCATGTGTATTATGTAAGAGTTTATTTGTATTATGTTAAAAATTTGTGTGTATTATTTTAGATTATGTGTATTATGTTAGAAGTTTATGTGTATTCTACTATATAATTATATACATACGAAACAAGATAACAATTGAGCCGTTCAGTAGGTCGGCTTTGGACAAGAGTAGGGATCGTTATGCTGTGCATCCGTATGCACCATGCATGGTGCATACGGATGCAAAAACGACGTCGTTTTATTAAAAACGCGCATCCCACTTAAAAAAATAATTCAGTTTCGATTCTAAAATTTTAGTTCATAGATTTTGGAATTTTAGTTCATAGATTCTGGAATTTTAGTTCATTGATTATGGATATTTAGACGTGAATCGAAACTGATTTTTTTCATTCATGCTGGATATTTAGTTCATTCATTATGGATATTTAGTTCATTCATTATGAGTTTTTAGTTCATTCATTCTGAAATTTTAGTTTATAAATTCTGAAATTTTAGTTCATAGATTCTGGAATTTTAGTTTATCGATTCTGAAATTTTAGTTCAAATTATACACAATATAATATTGTTGCTGGGAATCAAAACTAAAATTTTTTTTTAAGTGAGACGCGCGTTTTTAATAAAACGACGTCGTTTTTGCATCCGTATTAGGGATGGCAATGGGTCGGGTGTGGGTCGGGGAGGGCTACATCCATCACCCGACCCACCTTATAACCCACCCCCACCTCCAACCTGCATCGGGTGGACTTTTTCAGAACCCACCCCCACCCCCACCGAGTGCGGGTGCCCACTACGGGTACCCACCACTTATCATCTTATTATGTTTTTCAAAAAATAATATTTAAATTATTTACACATAATAAAAAAATAAAATCCATTAGTGATACTAAAACATAAATAATGGAAATATTTAAATATAATAACTAAATTGTTAATTTTTAAAAATAAACTTAGTAGTTTTGATATAAAAAATAGTAAAAAGATACACGGAGTTATATAAACTATTATAAATAATTACATACTAGTATTTATTTTACTATTATATATATATATATATACACACACACACATGGTGGGTCGGGTGGGGTTCTAGGCGGGTCTTGTACATAGAATCCGAATCCAACCCGACCCACCGCAGGTTTTCTTTTTTAAGACCCACCCCTGACCCACCACCCACCATCACCCAAAAAAACCCGATCCATGCGGGGTGGATTCGGGTGGATATCCACGGGTCGGATTGAAATTGCCATCCCTAATCCGTATGCACCATGCATGGTGCATACGGATGCACAGCATAATTTGCCCAAGAGTAGGCTGAGACCACAGGACGCATGGTTGAAGGGGCCATTTCACCCCATAGGCAAATTATACTACGAACTAAGGTTCAGGTTGCAATGTGGAAAAATATTTACTTTTAATATATTACAAATGAACTTTATGTGAATTGTTTACGTATAAGTACGTGATATACATACATATTACTAAAAAGTAAACTTGTTTGAGTTTTCAAAAAAAAAAAAAAAAAAAAAAAAAAACACAACATATAAATAATAAGTTTTAACATAAATCACGCAATTAGCTCAAATTCTAATTTTTATGTGTACATAAGGGATCCAATTCAAACCTTTCATCATTATTAAACCTTTTTTTATAAATATTTTCAGTAAAATTCAAACCTCCACACTATCACCTCCAATAATCATAACCTTTAAATTAAGTAACAACTCAACTACGCTAAGTCCCATGAGACTTGGAATATATTTTTATATCTTGAGAAGATTTTTAAGGGGTTTGGGTACCAGCTAAACTACTTATCCATCAATAAGCACCTCAAAGTCAAGTTTGACTAAGCTAAGGGTTGCTTATTGGCCCCTCAATTATAGAATCAGTAAACTAATTTTTCACCTAGACTGATTTAAATTTTTTTTTAAAAAAAAAAAGACTTTTTACCTAATTTTTGAAAAGACTTAGTTGTTAAATTGACGATGGCTCTTTAGAGCACTTTTAAATGAAAGAGCTCCTGATCAATTATTAACAAATTTTAATAAGTAAATACTAAAAATAATATTTAAATACTACAACAATCAAATGTTATTTAAATTTAGTAACAAGCTCAAATTAAAATACACAAACATATATTTACTATATAAATCTCCTGACATTTTAATTTGTCTAAACTTTTGTTTTTTTGTTTTTTTAAATACAAAAAGCAAGTTGATCAATTTTACAAGCTACATTTAACTCGAACAATTCTCTTCTTCCATTTTACACATTTTCTTAAGTAAAAGAACGTAAGACTTTTATCATCTTTCTTCCACTAACACACAAGTGCGGGTGAATGTGCGGTTGTGCGGTTTTAATGTGCGTGATTTTTGTACTTAAGGTGCGTGAGTCTTGTGCTTAAGGTGCGTGAGTTTTATGCTTAAGGTGCGTGGGTATGTACTTAATGTGAGTAGTGTTGAAACTTAAGGTACATGAGTTTTGTGTTTAAGGTGCATGAGTTTTGTGCTTAAGGTGCGTGTGTTTTAATTTGTGCTTAATGTGCGTGAGATTTGTGTTCTTAATATGAGTAGTTGTTGAAACTTAAGGTGCGTGAGTTTTGTGCTTAAGGTGCATGAGTTTTGTGCTTAAGGTGCGTGAAGTTTGTGCTTAAGGTGCGTGAGTTTTGTGCTTAAAGTGCGTGAGTTTGTGTTCTGAAGGCCGGTGTTTTGTTTGTGTGCTTAATGTGCGTGTGTTGTGTACTTTAAATGTGTCAGTTTAATGCTTAATGTGCGTCCACACACACACAATAGAAGATTTTTAATGGGGCCTCGGTCCCAGATGAACTTATCCTTCAATGAGCATGTGACTTCAATGTCAAGTTTAATTTAATTAAGTTAGGGGTTGCTTATAGACCTCCCAGTTAAACCGAAGATGGCTCTTTAGAACACTTTTAGACCTCAATGTCAAGTTTAATTTAATTAAGTTAGGGGTTGCTAACTTAGGTTTGGGTGTATAAAAGTTTCTCTCTAGGGTTTTCTAGAGTTCTTCTCCTCCGCTAGGGTTTCGTACGGTTTTTCTTGGTTTTCCGATCGGCGACTGCCGATTTGTGACGCTGGTTACGTGAGTACAACCGATGGCATCGACGGGCGAAGGGGATGTGGCAGCAATAACGCGAAGTTGGGCGGATATCGTCCTCGATGATGAGGAGGATGCTGTGTTCGCTCTGGCTGTTGCAGCGGACGGTGGAGGGCTATCGGAGACGGAGCAGACATGGGGAATGGTAGGCAGGTTTTTAACAACGAAGATCATAAAAGTGGAGTACATGCGGCAGGTAATGGCATCCGTTTGGCAACCGGTAAGGGGGGTGCAGGTCTCGGAAATTCAACCGAACTTGTTTCTCTTTATTTTTTACCATGAGACAGATGTGGAGTATGTGTTGGATGAGGGTCCGTGGTCGTTCAATAACCATTCACTTGTTTGCAAAAGAGTTCCGGATGGGATATTACCGATTGATGTGGTGCTGGACACGATTGATCTCTGGGTACAGGTGCATGATCTACCACTGGGCTATACGGGGATACAGATTCTGGAACAGATTGGAAATTTCGTTGGAACTTTTGTGAAATTGGACGAAAGATTTATTGGGGCTCCATGGTTAACATATTTTCGAATTAGGGTTTCAATCCCAGTGGATAAACCGATAAAAAGAAGGATGAAATTGCTCAAACGAGACAAGACAACGTGCTGGGTCAACTTCAAATATGAGAGACTGCACACGTTTTGTTTTTGTTGTGGTATGCTAGGGCACTCTTATAAGTTCTGTTTGAAAGCGCGGGAAGCAAGGATACCGGTGGAGCAATATCCGTACTCTGCGGATTTGCGGGTAGGAGGGAATAAGGGGCCACATGAGGTGGGTGGTCCTTGGTTGATCCGGCTTGGCGGCAAGCCGAAAGGTCTACCGGCGTCGGGAAATCTGAGACGGCGACCGACGGTAGAGGAAGACCCGAGAGATGAGGCGGAGAGGAGGGAGAGTGAGGATGTGGTGGCTGTGGTGGCTAAACGCCGCCGGGAGCAGGAAGGGGGTAGTGCCGATGTAACAATGGTAGACAGCTCAAAAAACTTGTTTATGGCGGGTTCTGGATCACAGACCCGCCCAAGCCAATGAGTACGCTGAGTTGGAACTGCCGTGTCCCGTAAGCAACCCGACTTTGTATTTCTGATGGAGACTAAAGTGGCAAAAGATCATGCAGAGCGACTTCGTGTAACGTTGGGGTTTGAGGGTTTGTTCTATGTTGATAATGATGGCTTAAGTGGGGGATTAGCGTTATTGTGGAAGAAGAATAATACGGCAAGACTACTTAGTTACTCGAAGAACTATGTTGATATTGAGGTAACTATGGCAGGTTATCCACGCTGGAGGATGACATGTTATTATGGCTTCTCAGAACGTAGTCGTCGTGCCGAGTCTTGGGACTTGTTGAGGACTCTTGTGGTGAAATCGGATCTCCCATGGATCGTGATGGGGGATTTTAATGACTTACTATATCAATACGAGAAGAGGGGAGGAAATCCGCATCCGAATAGCCTTTTACGAGGTTTTGGAGAAACACTGGAAGATTGTGGGTTAGCGCAACTGCCGATGGTGGGGTACCCATATACCTGGGAGAAGGGGAAAGGAACTGTGAATTGGATTGAGGAAAGGCTCGACAAGGTGCTGGTGACAAATGAGTGGCGTAACGTGGTTCCCCATGCTAAGGTTACGAATTTGAGAACCAGGAAGTCGGATCATTCCGCTATTTTCTGTGGAATTTATGAGGGAGTAGAGGCGAGTGGAGCGACAAGGAGGGAGTTTCGTTTTGAGATGGCCTGGTTGTATGATGATGGGTGTAGGGGAGTAGTCGAGCAAGCATGGAACGAGGGGAGGGGGCAGGGTTTGCAAGATTGTATTCAGTACTGTGGAAACCGGTTAACACGCTGGGGTGGAGATCGGTTCCATAAGTATGGGAAACAAATTTTAATGCTGAAAAGGGACCAGGAACGATTGAGGGGTCGTACTGACATGACCTCACTTGCTGAATTTTGGCACATTGAGGAGCTTTTAAGCAGAACAGAAGCCCAAGAGGATGCATACTGGAGGCAGAGAGCCAAGCAGCACTGGCTCAAGGAGGCTGACGCCAACACGAAATTTTTTCACAGGTATGCCTCACATCGTAAGAAAAAGAATACTATATCTAAGATAATGAATGACAATGGGGATTGGTTAGAAGGGGAACCTATGAGGAAAAATATTTTGGAGTATTTCAATAATATTTTTACCTCTGGGAGTCCGGGGACAGGGGAGGAGTTTTTTGAGAAGGTAGAGAAACGGGTATCACAGGCACAGAATGACTCATTATTACAACCCTTCATTGTAGAGGAAGTAAAAAATGCGTTATTTGCAATGTATCCTGATAAGGCTCCGGGCCCGGATGGAATGAATCCGGGTTTTTACCAGCATTTTTGGGATGTGGTGGAAGGGGATGTGGCGAGTTTTGTGATTAATTGTCTTGAAACGTGTGAGCTCCCATCTGATTTAAATAATACGGATATTGTGCTAATTCCAAAGAAGAATAATCCGGAGTTGGTGACTGATCTGCGCCCTATTGCTCTTAGTAATGTGGTCTACAGAATAATTGCGAAGATGATGTCTAATAGAATGAAACCATTGATGGATGGGATAATATCTGAGTCGCAGAGTGCTTTTATTCCAGATAGGTTGATAACAGATAATATTTTGTTAGCCGCAAAGGTAGGCCATTTTTTGAACAGAAAACAGTGTGGATTAGGGGGATGGGGTGCACTTAAGCTAGACATGGCAAAAGCTTATGACCGGATGGAGTGGCCCTATCTTCGTAACATGATGATGGCGCTAGGTTTTCACAGAAACTGGGTGGATTTGGTCATGAAATGTGTAACTACGGTCTCCTACAGTATCCTGATGAATGGCTCTAGGAGTGATCCAATTATACCTACTCGTGGCCTGAGACAGGGAGATCCGTTATCCCCATACTTATTTATTATCTGTGCAGAGGGACTTTCACTTATGTTGCAGCAGGCAAACAGGGAAGGACTTATACATGGATGTAGAGTGGCAAGAGGGGCCTCCCAGGTATCTCATTTATTCTTTGCGGATGATAGTCTATTATTTTTCAAAGCTAAGGAGGAGGAGGCAAATGAGGTGAAGAAATGTCTGTCAGTATATGAGAACCTATCTGGACAGGTGGTCAACTACCACAAGTCAAGTATTTGCTATAGCAAGAATATAGGAATTATTGACAGGGATAATGTGGCTCAGGTTTTGGGGGTAACACAGGCTCCGAATTTTGGCAAATATCTGGGTCTACCCTCTTTTGTTGGAAGAAATAAGAAGGCAGCTTTTGCTTATATTGAAGATAAAATACGCCAAAGGATTGGGTCTTGGAATAAAAGATTACTATCCCAAGCAGGGAAAGAAATACTATTGAAAAGTGTAGCACAATCCATGCCTACCTTCTCAATGAGTGTATTTCTTTACCACTATCAGTATGTACGGCAATTGAGAGGACCATGAATAGATATTGGTGGGACTCGGGAGGTGATAGACGAATACACTGGAAGGCTTGGGATAAACTGTGTGTCCCAAAGAAGTATGGTGGATTGAGATTTAAGGATTTACGTGCATTTAATCTGGCAATGTTGGGAAAGCAGGCGTGGCGAATGCTCACTAAACCTGACTCTTTAGTGGCTCGTGTCTATAAAGCCCAGTATTTCCCTAAGGGAACATTTTTTGATACACAGATAGGAAATAGCCTCAGTTTTTGTTGGCGGAGTATTATGGCAGCAAAGAGTATAATTTGTAGTGGGGTCAGACGAAGAATAGGAAATGGGGAAACAACATTTATATGGACCCACCCATGGTTGCAGGATGAGCACGACCATATGATACAAACGGAAATGCCAGTACAATTACAAGGGACCAGAGTAATGGGATTAATTGATCAACAGACAGGAACATGGGATAATGACATACTAACAGATTTATTCCAACCTGAGGATGTAGGGCGAATTATGAGGATACCTGTCTCCCTAGACTATAATGATACATGGTATTGGCATGGGGACCCAAAAGGTATGTATTCTGTGAAGAGTGGATACAGGCGGATAGTGGGGGACTACGAGAGTCAAGGGGGGGAATTTATGAATTGGTTATCTTTGTGGCGGCTCAAGATACCCCCGAAATGGAGAATGTTTCTTTGGAGAGCCATTTGTGATATATTGCCCACTACTACAAACTTGCTTATAAGGAGGGTTGATGTGAGCCCTTATTGTGCCATGTGTGGGATATCACAAGAGAATACAATGCATGCTTTAGTCATGTGTGACTATGCAAGAAACATTTGGGAACAATCTAACCTTACAATCCCCAACATTGTCACGAATATTTTTCATGTTTGGTTTGAGGAACTTCAAAATGTTTTAGATTCTGATGGAATGTTATATGCAGCATCAATTCTATACAACATTTGGAGAGCACGAAATCGAGCCGTATGGGAGGCATGCCTGCCACGGCCAAACTCCCTACTCCGAGCCGCCGTGACCGCCAAAGATGCATGGCTCCAGGCACGCCCAATCCGTCCGCCAGCAGCACTGCCCGCCAATGCCGTAGCTCACGCTGCCGAGACTGTCCACGACGCTGCCCACGTGGAGACCGCCTTGATGGCCGGAAATGTTGTGCCGAATTTGAGAAGATGTCGGGTCGACGCAGGGTATTTACACGATACGGGAAGGGCCACCGTAGGGGCTGTTTTGTTCGATGCGAACGGAGAGTATTTAGCGGCCTTCAATGCACCGTTGCCAACTTGTTTGACACCTCTTATGGCCGAAGCTTTGGCATGCAAAGAGGCTTTATCGTGGTTGAAGGAGAGAGGGGAGCAGAGTATTGAGTTATACACGGATTGCTTGACATTGCAACGTTATCTTGCTACACCAACTGCCGCGTTTCGCTCCTATGTGGGCTATGCTATTGACGGCTGCAAGCAAATTGCCACTTTATTTCAGTTTTGTTCATTTAATTTTATTCCTAGATCAGATAATTATTTAGCTCATGCATTAGCTACTACGGCCTATTAGCAACATTTTGCTATGTATTGGTGATACTGCTAATTCTACGTAAGCAATATAAAATAGCACGAGACCAATTAAAGCAAGTAAAATCTTTATTGATCCCGGTAAAGGCCCTAAGTACAGTCTACTTGGCTGCTCTGAGTACCGACTGACTGCGGTCGGGATTCTCTAGCAACAGCCTATCGATCGTCCAAAAGTCCCTTACACTGTAGCTACTGTGGGTATTTATAGCCGCTATGCCGGGGACAGGATTTCAGCCGTTCGGCATGTCCTCCACGTAGCCACCACGTGTCATCCTCCCGGGTGCCCTGCCTGTCGATGTAAAGAGCCGCCACGTGTCCTTCGTCAGCTCTTTCGCCAAAGGGCTACCGCTCGGTGGTCGACACCGTCGCTCGGGCAACTCCGGTCGGTCTACGACCGGGTTCTTCTCGTGGAGCCCGACCTGTTACCTGCAAAGACAAGGAGAAAGAGACAGACTCTTCGGTCGTGGTGAAGCTATCTCGGTCGGGATATTCCTTACCAAGAGCCCCCCAGCCCGGGCCTTTTTGATCAGTCGGGAAAAAACGGGACAGGATGAAGAAGCCCAACCGTCAGCCACCAAGCCGACCTGCCAGCTGTCATTCCTTCCTACGCCACGTGTCGGCCTCTGCCGGCCTCGGCGATCCCATCCGTCGCCTCGGATTCAGCGCGGGTCGTGTCAGGCAAGTTGGCCCATTTCCCGCCTAAATGCCCTCCTATAAATAGGCCCTTGAGGCCCTCATTTGAACTTTCCTCACTCTTTTGCTTCAGTCGGTATCCTCTAAGAATCCCGAGCAGAGCATCTCAGCAAGGCGATCAAGCAAAGCAAAACTTCAGACCTTCTTCAAAGTTTCCTCACTCGGTAAGCTCTTAGTTCTTTACTCTTTGTTTACTCTTTACTTAGCGTAGAAGTAGGATAGCACTAACTTCGAGCTAACTCCCCGAACCCTGTACTAACTCCCGACCGACCTTTAGGTAGAAATATGTCGGACTCGGATAGTCAAAACGCCTCAATCACGGATTACGATGAGGAGGTCGAGCGTATCAGCGACGAGGAAGTGGACATTATGTCCCACACTCCCGAAGCCAGCCCCCGAGCAACGCCAGCCCCCGATCGAGCCGTCGAGCATAACAGCGCATCAAGCTCCTCCGGGACGTCGAGCTCTAGCCCCAGCGGATCGGGGAGCCCTAGCGAAGAAGAGGAAGAGAGAACCACGTCAAGCGGGCGGGGTTCTCCGACCGAGGGCGTTAGGGAAACGCCTACCCGGGTGGTTGGGGACCACCCGGAAGCCGCTCCTCGAGGAGGTGACCGAGAAAATACCCTCGAGCAGACCGAAGAAGACCCGGCCGGGCCGGCCACACCAGCCGTCGAGCTCGAATTCTTGAACAGCGAGAGTGTCGAGCAAGAGATGAGCCTGCTGACCAAAGGCGAAGCGGCTCGGATTGCTGAAATACTCCGGGGTCGGGTAGAATTCGACACAAGCCGGCAGCTGGGAAACGTGATTGACAGGCATCGGGGCAAGTGGATCGGGATGCACTACGACTCCCTGATGGTCCCGATCGCCATTCCCTTCACCCCCCTCCTGAACGCCTTCTTGGCCTATTACCGGGTCGTCCCGGCCCAGATCTGCCCGAACGCGCATCGGATCCTCGCCTGCTTCCCGCAGATATGCACTCGGCACGAGGCCGAATGCACGATGGAGTTGTTCAACTTCATCTACCAGATCAAGGTTCTCCCGGGCCGCTACGGGGGTGGGTTCCTGATGCTGCAATCCCGAGCAGATATGTGCTCCATCAAAGGCCTGCCCGGGAACAACAAGGGGTGGAAGAACAGAATTTTCTCCATCAAATACGACCCCTGGATCCTCCCGGTCGATCGCACTTGGAGCAGCCACTTTAGAAAGCAAGTGGTGCCGGTCGAGACGCAAGCGCTGAGGGACACGGTCAGCCGGATTTCGAGCGAGGTGCACGAATACACAATCTTCCGGACGGCTGAAAGTCTCGCAGCCGCCAAGCTCCCGCCCCCCACGTACGAGCTAAAGGAGAAGTACCTTCCCGTACCGATGGGCGTGACGGTCGCCAAGCCGTCGAAACGGAAGAAGAAAGGTTTAGCTCGAGCTGTTCCTCCCGACCTTGCTTCATTTCTTGATCAAACTAACTTAGCTCCTTTATTGCAGCCATGGCAGAATTTGGTGATGAAGACACCGCCCTTCCCCCGCCCGCCAAGATCTCCCTCGGCGGGAAGAAGAAGACCAAGACCAAAGCAGCCGGGGAAAAGGAGATTCCCACTGCCCGACCCCTGAGTGCCTCGACCGTGTCGACGGGCGAGGGCTTCATCGTCGAGCAGCCTGACGTCTTGGTCACCCGGGTGGAGGTCGCCCGGGGCAAGGAGAAGGTCGCCGACCAGGGCGCGACCGAGGTGGGCAGCCTGAAGCGCCGCCGTGAGCAGCACAGCCCGAGCCCTTCGGTCGGGCGAGAGAGGGAGTCTACGTCCGTGCTGGCACGGATCGGTAACGCCGCGCCAGCCCGAGCGGATCTGGGGAAGATGACCCCGACCCAGGTGGCTGAACAGATCGGCCACGACCTGGCTGAGGTGAGTTTCCCAACTTATAATCTTTCTTTGCCCAAGTGTTTTCGATCGGGCTAACCGAACGTCTCTTGTTTTGCAGATTTCCCGGGCCGCCCAGCTCCTACAAGGTCGAGCCATGCTGACCGAGGAAGCTGATCACCACAAGAAGACGGCCGCCCGTCGCTTGAAGGAGATCAAGGACCTCCAAGCCGAGCTGGAGAAGACCCAGAAGGCCCTGAAGAAGGGCGACGAGGAGCGGGTTCTTGCCGAGAAGGTCGCCAGCCGGGCGATCGGAGAGGCCAAGGAGCTGAAGGCTCAGCTCGAGAATCCGAGCGAGCTGGCGCGGGCAGCCTTCAAAGACAAGGACTTGGGCTCGGCCTTCCTCACAGCAGCCCGGGGAACAGAGATCGGGGAAGAGCTGATCGTCTCGTTCGGTCGCTGGGGCTTCACGGCCGGGAAGCGGAAGATGCTTGAACGAGTCCGTTCTCGGTTGGAACAGGCCCTGGACGGGGAAGACCTTCAGCTGGTCCTCTCGGCCTTACCCCCAGACCTAGCCGATCCCGGTCCTTCTCCGTTCGCCCCAAAAGCCAAGGCGGCCGAGCCTGGAGCGTCGTCGGCGGCCCCTTCAAGCGGGAAGGAAGCGGCTGCTGGAGCCCGGGAGGCAAAGAAATAGGCTAGGCTGCCTCCTTTTTTTTGTAAGAAACACCGATCGGGAGCCCGGTCCCGAATTGTACCGGGCACCTTTTTGTTTGTTAATAAAATTTATTTTTTGTTCTATCTTGCGTCGCTCGTTCTTTCTTTTCGCACTTTTATCTTTAATCGCGTAAGTGCTGATCCTTAATGCTCGACCTCGCGGCCTTGTGGCCCGATCTTGCGCTGGTTCGACCCACTCGACGCCCGACCTTACGACCTTATGGCCTGGTTGTGCGTTTGATATTACGACGTCAAATCTGGCCAACCGATCGGGTGTACCCGATCCCCGGGCCTTTGTCGAAAAATTTTTGGAAACAAGCCTCTACGGTCGGGATGTAACCGAGCGACGGGCCTGCGAATACTTCCTTATCTCAGCCCCCACACTATTGTGCGCTCGAGGCACGAGTGGGTGCAATAGTGGACAGAAGTTGGACAGATCGGGGGATAATGCTGAGAGCTCCTGGCTTCCCCGATCAGTGGCATGACTTGGGTGTCCGCCAATGTGGAGCGCGTTTTGACCGGTCGATAGATTTCGCCCGGTTGATGAATGTTGAGCTGATCTGCATGTAACGAAGGTGAAAGAAAATAACCGATCGGGCCGCCGCATACAGACGGTCGGGCAATCATCGATCGTATATACATTAAACTTTCCCGCTCGCAGGCGGTTGAATTAATTTTACAACCATAAATTTACATAGAAATGACGACCGGGACTAACTCGCAGGTCAAGCCCCCACTTCGTCTAAAAATACAAAAAATAGGCTAATGCCTAAAAAGAACGAGGTGCTCGGAATTCCAAGTCCCCTCGATTAGCCGACCAGTCGTTGTCTCTAGTCGGTATGTACCCGGCCGTATGACAGCGTTGATGATGTACGGCCCTTCCCAGTTCTGAGCTAGCTTTCCGCCCTCTAGAGGTTGGCTGGCCTCCCTTCGTCGTAGAACGTAGTCTCCGACTTGAAAATAACGAGGGTTGACCCGAACATCTTTAGAACTCTTGACGCGCTTTTGATACTCGGCTATGCGTTGAGCGGCTAGCTCCCTTTTTTCTTCGATCCCATCAAGGTCCACGGCCATCGCGTGCTCGTTCTCCTCCGCATTATAGGTTCTCTCTCGATCGGTCGGAATCCAGGCCTCAATCGGAAGTCGGGCCTCGGCTCCGTAAACCAGGGCGAACGGGGTCTCCAAAGTAGCTTCCCTCGGGGTCGTCCGATAAGTCCACAAAACATATGGCAACTCATCGGCCCAACTACTACCGGCCGAGTGTAACTTCCTTTTCAGACCTTCCAATATCGTCCGGTTAGCATTCTCCACTTGTCCATTTCCCTGTGGGTAAGCGACCGACGACCGGACGTGAGTCGTCCCGATCGTGGCCAAGAAATTCTGGAAGTATTGGCTCACAAACTGGCGACCGTTGTCGCTAATGAGATGCACGGGCACGCCAAAACGGGAAATGACATTGCGCCAAAGGAAGCGAGCACATTGCTGAGATGTGATCGTGGCTAAAGGCTCGGCTTCTATCCACTTGGAGAAGTAATCTATGGCGACGATCACGAACTTTCTCCGACCGGAGAGCTGAGGAAAGGGGCCCAAGATGTCTACCCCCCACCTTGCGAAAGGAATTGCGGTCGTGACTGGCTGGTAGAACGTTGCCGGTCGTCCAGGCATCCGGGCGTATAGTTGGCACGTCTCACATTCCCGAGCTAACTTTTCACAGTCTAGCTGGAGG